TGGAGGTCACTAAAGTGTAATCAACCCATCACGCCCTAGACAGTTGAAAAATCCAGGTTTGGTGGATGGCTGCCATTCCTGATAAGAATTTAGGCTAAGGGTAATGCATGCAATCTAGTAACACTTTATGCTTTAATTCAACAGCTAGTGGCTGTTTCCAGGGAGGAAGACAAATAGAATTGTACTGTAAGTTGAATAAAGCTCCCCAAAGATAGCCGGATACTAAAGGCTCCAGTTGATACAATTAAGGGTCTTGGGTTCTCCTGAATTACCTGGGTAATCACAATGACCATCTAAGGAGAGAGGTAAAAGAAGACTTGACTAAGGAAAAGCAAGTAGATGTGATAACAGAAGCAAGAGGTTTAGAGGGATTCAAGACAAGCACCACCAGTCAGGAAGATACAGAGGGCTGTGCGGTGGTGTAATCGGCTAATTCTGCACCTACAAGTGCTTCCCTTCTGCCTCCCTGATTATGGCCTGGGAAAGCAATAGAGGACAGCCCAAAGCCTTGGGACCCTGCACCCACATGGGGGTCCTGGAAGAGGCTCCTGATTTCTGGCTTCTGATTGGCTCAGCTTTGACCACTGTGGCCATTTGAGAAGTGAACCAGCAGATGAAAGATCTTTCTGTCTCTCTTCTTCTTTCTGTAAATCTGCCATTACAATAAAAATAGATTTTAAAAAGATGACTTCAAAATGCAGGCACCATAAACAAAGGATCGGATCCTCCCCTAAGGCCTCCAGAGAGAAATAACCAGTGCCAGCACCTTGAGACGGGGCCCTGGAGACTGATCTAGGGCCAGCACCTTGAGAGGAGGCACTAGAGACTGATCTAGGACCTCTGGCCTCCAGAACTCTGAGAGCAGAAAAATAAAATGTTATTTTAAATCACCAAGTCTATGGTACATTTTGACAGCACTGGTCATGAATGAATACAAGTCCTGGGAAGGGGAAGGGATAGTGAATCTAACCAGGTTCTAAGCAGCCACTACTTAGAATCTCTTGCTTCTCTTGTGTAAAAGAGAAAATTTAGCTAAGAAAGACCAGTGGTCAACTAGATTTTATGTTATCTTAATTGCAATGGAATGTAAGAGAGATGATTTCATAGTCTTTCAATCAAGTATTTATTTCTCCCAAAGTTAGAACATGTAATATTCATGGTGCAAAGAAATCCCTCTGCTATCCACCCAAAGTTTTCAAATTCAGAGATTTTTCAAATAAAATTTTCCAAAGCCATCAGCAGCATGCCTGGGGCATAATTCAGTGTGTGTGTGTGTGTGTGTGTGTGTGTGTGTGTACAGGTGGCATTCTGTCATGGTTGCTTACTATTTCTTTTTAACTACTAGTCAGCACTAGTGCTTGGATTTGTAACTGTAGATCAAAGAGTCTGTAATCCATGTGTTATTTTAGTATGCAGAACCTTAACCCTTCAAGGCCCTACCTCCTCCTATATCTGTCCTTTAATTTAAGCAATCATTAAAACAGTCCATCGTTCTGTTTTACCTTGGCTCTTTCCACTTCTACTTCTTTTCCCTCAACAAGTTGAAGCAGCCTCCGTAAACTTTTGAAATGAAGCTTCATATTTCCAGACCAGGAGAAAGAGCTGTCTGCTTAGACAACTTTCGTCTGCAAACTCCCTTAGTGGTACTTGATAATGTCATAAACTGCCTTATACAAAAATGAACATTTAACAAGTTATGGCATATGAAAACTTATTTTAAGTAAAGTATATTGCCCCTCAACAGGTATAAATATTGTATCATTATTTTAACATACAAATGATCCCCAGCCTTCTAGAGGGCTATACCTGATTAACTTGTTGGAGGCAGAAAATACCATAAACCCTAACCTAGTGAACATCCCAGATGAGCAATACAGCACACGCTGGTGCAATGGTCATGTTCCTTCATGGTGGTGGTGTGAACTGGGAGCCAAGCTGTTGCTGCTGCCCAGCTTCCTGGCTTCCCAGGAAAGATCCGACCACACACCACTAGCATGTTATGTGTCACTAGCACCCCCATCGTAGTGTAACCAGTTTTGCTGAATGCTATGTCTTTCCTACCATTGCAGTGTCATAAAGTCTTGAGCCAAGTCATGAGTCAGAGACTGTCTATATCTATAAATATTTGTATTGAGACAACTTTTACTTTCCACATTCATACAGGGGCATGCTATTCTTAGCTTGTCTTAAAACAATTCTACCAGGAAAGCCAAATGGATTAACAAATGAATTGTATGATAGGATTATTGCATTTAGCTTGGGAATTAAAGGTATAAAAAGGACAATAGATTAAACTGTACCCTGGCATCAAAACTGGCAAAACCTTTTACCCGTGTTTAGAATTCTTAAAATTGTGCTCAAACATCAATTTCGATAATTCTTGAAGAGTTTTTCTCCTTCCTAAATGGCTTAGAAGCATTGTATCCAAAGGACACACTGCAGATAGGGATGGTTCTGGCAGAAAAACCATGAATGTAATTTTTGTTACAATTGCTCCATGTAACATCTCTGAGTTCTTATCTAACATTTTTATCAGATACAGGCAAACTATAAAATCATCTGATCACAGGGAGGTAAAAATTTTAGAATTGGTTTCTTTTTATTAACTTGATGATGCACCATCAAAGTTTGTTACACTTGCTGTCTTTGCTTGCTCAAATTTGAAAATGAAGTCAGTGTTTAGAAAAAAACTGGTGTGGGGCAGGGGGGCTGCATGATGGCTCAATAGGCTAATCCTACACCTGGAAGTACCAGCATCCCATATGGGCACTGGTTTGTGTCCCAGCTGTTCACTTCCAATATAGCAACCTGCCTGTGGTCTGAGAAAGCAGTGCAGGATGCCTAAAGTATCCTGCATCCATGAAGAAGACCTGGCAGAAGCTCCTGGATTTGGATCTGCTCAGCTCCAGCCACTGTGGCCACTCGGGGAGTGAAACTCATCTGTTTTTATGGCTGAGTAGTATTCTACTGCGTATATGCTTTAACCATTCACCAGTGGCTGGACACTTCTTGGCTATTGCGAACAGTGCTACAGGGTATGTGAGAGTACAGCATCTCTTTAGCACTTCACTTCCCTTGGATAGATCACATGGCAGATCTGTTTTTAATTTTTTGAAGAGCTCCAAGCCATGTTGCATAATGACTAGACTAATTTATATTCCCACCAACAGAATACAAGAGCTCACTTTTCTTCCTATTCCATCAACACGTGTTATCTTTGGTCTTTTGGATAACAGTCAATACAACTGCAAAAAGGGAGTATCTCACTGTAGTTTTGACTTGCATTCCTGATGCTGAGCTTTTTTTTTTCTACACACCTGTTGGCCACTTTTATGTCTTCCTTTGATGAATTATTTAATCTGCTGCCCACCTTAATTGTTTGTGGAGGGTTTTTTTGTTTGCTTGTTTTTGCTATTGTTATTATTAGTCCTTTATCAAATGCATAACTTGGAAACATTTTTCTCTAATCCACAGATTACTTTTTCAGTTGGTTGATGTGCAGAATCCCTTTTTTTTTTGATGAAATCTTGCTTGTTTATTTTTTTTGTCTCTTGGCAACCCCTGCCCATTTAGATGTCCTGAAGCATCTCCCATTTTCCTCTGAAAGCTTCAGTTTCCTGTCTTACTTTTATGTCTTCCATCCATTTTTAGTTGATTTTTGTACATAGAAGGAGGGGCTGTTCATTAAGCTCCTCTGTATATGAACGCCAGTTTTCCCAGAATCATCGCTTTAGAACTGAATGAGACTCAAAGACAAGACGCAATCACTATTCTCCAGAAGCTAAGTTTAAACTGCACCTGAACAGCAATAGCTTGAAACTTCTCTTTCATATTTTAAAGTTCTATAGAATATTTATTTCAAGGGATCCATTGCTTAACATTTTTTTTTTCAAAATTCTGATGAATAGAATGAAAAGGCCAAATAACACGTAAGCGTCAACAGATTTTTCTCCCCTCCATTACAAGGTTGTAGGTTGACTGTCGAATGAAATTTAAATGGAGGGAGGCAATTGAAAATTTACATTTTCAGTGTATTCATGTTTATCCTGGATGTCATCTTAGTTTTTTCTCCTCTTGTCTTCTTTTAGCTTCTTTATAACACTCAAATTTTAGCGATGTGTGGAAATGTACAATAGGGACCAGCACCCCTCTGGCCTATAGTGTTGGCATCTCATATAAATGCTGATTTGACTCCTGGCTGCTCCAGTTCTGATCCAGCTCCCTGCTAATGTGTCTGGGAAAGGAGTCAAAGATGGCCCACGTCTTTGGGTCCCTGTGATCACGTGACACACCGGGAGGAAAGTCTGGCCTTCTGACTTCAGACCAGCGCGGCTCTGGCCACTGTGGCCATTTGGGGAGTGAACCATGGATTGAAAATCTCTCTCTCTTCTCCCCCTCTGTCCCTCCTTCTTTCTGTAAATCTGAATTTCAAGTAAACATAAAGCTTTTTATAAAAGAAATGTACAGTAAAAGTGTTCACTCTTTTTGAACATTAAAATAGTTTAATAATTTGATAATATCTAGAAAAAAAGCTGCACTGTACAGGTGGTTCTTGATTTATAGCGGTTCAACTTGAAATTGTTCAAACTTTATAAAGGTGGGTAAACGGCATGCATTCAGTAAAAATTGTACTATGGGTTTTGATCTTTTCCTGGGCTAGTAGACTGTGTCATTAAGCCATGATGTTAGGTCGTTATACATATTTTCAATATCTAACATTGAACTTATGATGGCTTTATGGGAATGTGACTGCTCCGTGAGCTGAGGCATATTGGTATTTGTCTTCTCTGAAATTACTGAAAACTGGTTTAAGATACCATACTGAATCATTTATTCAAAAATGTTTAGTTCAAAACCACCACCCCATTTCTCTGCAACATGGTGGACTTTAAAAAAATCTTGCTTTCAAATCTGGATGGACTACACGGTGTTAAGGAACTGCAGACAGATTCACGGGCAATCCCTTTAAGAAGCTTGTCAGAAAAGGAACCAGAAGACACTCAGGTGCGGTGTTCTTTATTATAAACAATCAAATAACAGTATTGTGGATTTGAAGGCAAGTTATCTGAATCAAAACACTGCTTTACTCAAATAGAATAGTTCCCTTTTTGTTTGTTTCTTTGCTATTAACGTGGACTAACTTTAACATACACAAGGATTACCTAACTTGTCCTACAGTTCAGCTGTTAAATCTTAACAAGGAAAGAAAAACAATGGAATGCATATTACATTTTGCTTGATTTCTTGAGTAAATATTCCAAATATTCCAGACACATCCAACATTAAGCAGAAGCTTAAAGTCTAACAAGCGATATTTATAAATGCTTTAGTTAATGTGTTGCTGTTACAGAGGTATCCATATAGTTCCACAAAACTTGTCCAAAAAATGAGCTAAGAGACACAGGTACAGTATTCTTTATTATAAACCATGAATAACAGTGTAAGTGCATCAGAAGGATAACTGAAGCCAACTTATTATAACCAGAATCAGATACTTAAATAGAAAGTGTTCCCAGTCTTATAAGACAAGTAAAGGAGATTCTAAATGCTAGCTAGTTGGCCAACTTTTCCTTATTTATCATGAGTATTTAAAAAATAACAAAATGTAAAGTATACATGTTACAGAGTGACATCTTTATGGTTCCAAACACCCACAGCTATTAGTAGACCATCTAGCACAAACAAGTGTTTCACATCTCATTTTCTTAACATGAAACAAAAAAAAAAAAAGAAAGAAAAAGGAAAAAAAACTGGCTTGAATAACACATGACCGATGTCATGGATCTTCTAATCAATCAAAATGTTGCTTTTCTCTAGTTCACAATTATTGTCTGTGGCACCCTCAGCTATGGCACCCTTACTTAGCATGTCAATTTTGCTATTTATGCTGTAGAAGAACACTTGCATTCTTTTGGACCATCTGCTTTAAGGAATGAGTGCTCAGTAACCACATTTAAAATTCTGAAATCAAGTATGTTGCTGCAATTGTTGAGAACTTTTAGCGATAAAAAGCAAGAGAAAGAAATGTGACCGTGTTACAGTCACGCCAAAGGTTCACATCGCATCAGTTCTAGATTCTCTGAATTTCAAAGTTCTCCTGATACAGACCTTCAGTGAGGTATGCTAGGTGTCAATTTTATCATGTATTTCTTGAAGAATTAATTTAGGTACAGTGACATATTGTTCAGATTCCGTAAGGATGCATGAAAATTCAAGGGGTTTAGGTGTTCTGTTGTTTAATGATATTTAGAAGTCACTAGCTCCAGCGAATTCTGTAAAGGTTCAGGAGGGCTGGAGGTGAGTCTGATGGCGGGGTGAAGAAATCAGGAAGCTGTATTTCATCCCTGGAGCTAAGACTGCATGTTCCTGAAGCTCTCCCATGGGTTTGGATTCATCTGAGACTCACCATATTAACGATTTTTCCAAGAAATGGAGAGTCAGGGAGTATCATAAAAAGAGAAGCAAGAAGAAAGGAGAAGTAAAAGCAACTTTCAGATACAGAGGAAAAGGAGCATTTAACCAAGGAACCCATTTCCTGATTAATCAGAAGGGAAAGGAAATAACCATTTTGGAAGAGTATTATTTAAGAAGTCAATTATATTTTTCAAGCAAAAAAAAAAAGTATGTCTTTTGTTCTGTTTTAAAGTTTCAGACGCAAAGGTGTCGCTATGCAGAACTCTCAGCCTTCAAGGACTGGGCTATCTCAACAGAACCTAACATGGCATCTACCAGGCAGAAGTGTGCAATACATAGTTGATGAACTGATAAGCTAGGGGCTTTTCTAAACACTAACTGGGTCACTTGGTTTCAAGACACAATTTTCTATTGTATATATGAAGGCATCTATTCAATAACACTAGTGGTGATGGGAGGTGGGATAGTAGCAGCTCACTCGTGTATCTTTTTCACATGATCAGCTCTACCTTGAGTAGTTTATTGAGAAATGACTACCATGCGCACTAACGGTACAAAGAGCTGAGACAGAACGTGTAAGTGAAGAAACTTCTTGGATTAGGGAAGTACTGTTTGTTACAAGCATGACAGCATCTTAAATGAACATTTTGAAGAGGGTGTGACATACTTCTCCAAGCAACGCAGTGTTTACTAGATGGTAAGTATATAAATATGAAAGTACCTAGACATTTCCTCCATCACCCGAAGAAGAACAAGGACAGGCTTTTAATATCATGGCGCTTTTTAAGGAATGGCCTATAATTAAGTACCACTGTTCTCTCAACACCACACTATAGAGGGTTATAAAATGATTATCGTTTCCCTTGAGACATTATTTCCAAGTAGGAAACTTTAGTTTCTGTTAAGAGAATGTCAGATTTGATCACTTGATATTTTAATCAATAGAGACTCTAATTAGCTCATACATTTGATCTAATAATGTAGGCTTCCTTAATGGCCTTACCACTATTTTTGACATCTGTAAATAGCTAATATTCACCAAGAGGAAAGAAAGTGTGGCCCAAAGAGTGCCCTGACCCAGAGACACTGGTGTGGGAATGTGAGCAGATAGAAGCGTATGCTCCTTTGTCCAGCCCTTTTATTTTATCTGCTTCTCCTCTACACTGGACTGAGAGTCCCTGGTGTCATGGCACACCATGCTATCTCACAGAGCTGAAGGACTGTCTGACATGAACAGCTGGGAGAACAGGAGCCTGATTTCCTAGGTAGAAAGCCAGAGGTGTCTCCTTGGGTGGCTCCTGCACTAGTCCTGGACTTAGATTGTCACCTGGGAACACAGCACATTTCATGCTACTGCCATCTTTACTTTCCCTCATTCAACTCATTTTCACACACACACACACACACACACACACACACACAATGGCAGTCTGAGCAACAGGATCCATCAGGCTGCAAGTTCTTTTCCAGCCACAGCTGAAATCTATTTGAACAAGTACCACGCCTATCAGCAGGCTAGTCCATGTATTTCAGTTGCAACAACATAAAGTTTATACAGCTTGTCTCCCATAATTCAGAATACAAGTTTGATTTTCCAGGGCCGGCAGCACTGCCAGTGAGATTACTGACACCATACGGGTTGGACGGCTTTGTTTTGTCTCCAAACGCTTTTGTGCTGCTGAAACCTGATTTTGCTTTATACACAGTTTCCATGACGTCTCTGTTCAGGTCGTGCAGCGTGCCCTTGATTCTGCCCGCACCCTCCAAACTCCATTGACGCCGTTGCCTTTTATTTGTCTACTCTTATAAGAGAAGCTGCTGCTGCTGCTGCTGCTTGCAGCACAAGCAACAAAAGTCTGCTTTGCTAACTGCAGTGTGCCGGCACTGAGTTAATGAGACAGCACAAAACAAATGGTGATTAAAAACAACAACAAAAAAACAACAACAAACAGTGTACATTATACATATTTACACATGCATGTAGAAACTTCCAGGAGTTGCAAATCTGAAACCATGTAAGCCACTGGCCGCAACAGCATCCCTCCTATGGAAATGGAGTTTTAAGACATGACTGTTAAGACACTGAGGAAATAGGATTATGTGGCGAGCCCATCTGAGTCAGAACTTTATCCAACCACTGCAGTGGCCCGTGAAGATGGATCTCAATCCAGCAGGGGGTGCTCGTGACATCCTGGCGGTGATACTCGGCTCCCCAACCCTGAAAAGCAAGGACAGTACTAAGAGTGACTGTGCCAGACTCCAGGGTCAGTCCCCAAGACCACCAGGCTGAGCTGGGGGAGACGTGGAGCCCATGTCCCCGCGGAGTCCCTGAGGCCTGAGAGGGAATAAGCTGAGTTCTACCTTCCTGTAAGAACAGGGCAATGTGCGTACCCATTAGAAACCCAGGAGGCAACCCAATCCTGTGTGTTTCCTCTGGTCCACAGCTTAAACCCCAGCCTAGAGCTGCTCCAGGGAGGTGCCTGTCTCCTAGGAAATGCTGGAAGTCACTGCCCCTCCCACAGGGGCCAAACCTGACCTCAGGGCCACTGATGTGTGTTGCACAAAACGGTTACTCACTTACAGACTGGCGATCAGATCTGTAAGTAGTAAAGACACACCTGCAGGGCACTCTGCAGGGTTGATTTTCAAAGCTTGCTCCTCCCTCTCCTTCCACTCGGGCTTATTTTGCAGTTTCCCATTTCATTTGTCGAAGACACAGGAAAAAAAAAGGTTGCGCGTGTTTCTCTCTAACTTCCACACTGGCAAGTTACTGCAGACATGAAGGCAGAGGGCAGCTGTTTGGCAGAGTGGTTAAGCTGTTGCTTGGGATGCCCACACCCAAGGGACTGGAGCCCTGGTTCTGCCCCCCAGTTTAGCTTCTTGCTAACAGCACCCTCAAGTAGTTGGGTTCAAATCTCCCTCCTGAGAAACCTGGATTGAGTTCTTGGCTTCAGTCCTAGGCTGTGGTGGGCATTTTGGCAATTAAATTAACAGATGGGAGGTTTCTCTGCTCCTCAAATAATAAATAAATTATTCTTTTTTTTTTTTAAGATTTATTTATGTATTGGAAAGTCAGATAAACAGAGAGGAGGAGAGACAGAGAGGAAGATCTTCCATCCGATGATTCACTTCCCAAGTGAGCATAATGGTCGATGCTGTGCCGATCCAAGCCAGGATCCAGGAACTTTTTCCGGGTATCCCACGTAGGTGCAGGGTCCCAAGGCTTTGGGCCGTCCTTGACTGCTTTCCCAGGCCACAAGCAGGGAGCTGGATGGGAAGTGGAGCTGCCAGGATTAGAACCAGCGTCCATATGGGATCCCGGCGCATTCAAGGCGAGGACTTTAGCCACTAGGCCACACCACCGGGCCCAACAAATAAATTATTCTTAAAAAAACAGAAATAGCCCAAAATACTGACTTTGTTATTAGAAATAGTGATTTTTCTGTATAGCTTTTTTTTTTTTTTAACTGGACTTCAGGGCCTGGTGCAATGGCTCAATCAGCGAATCCTCTCCTTGCATGTGCCAGGATCCCTTATGGGCACCAGTTCGTATCCCAGCTGCTCTCCTTTCCATCCAGCTCTCTCTGCTTGTGGCCTAGGAAAGCGGTAGAGGATGGCTCAAAACCTGGAGACCCTGCAGCCATGTTAGACTCAGAGTTGGCTCCTGGCTTTAGATCTGCTCAGCTTTTAGCCATTCTGGCCATCTGGAGAGTAAACCAGCAGATGCAAGATCTTTCTCTGTCTCTCTCCCTTCCCCTCTTTTAATCTGCCTTTCAAATAGAAGCATTAAATCTTTAGAAAAAAGAAAAACTGGACTTCCATCAACCAGGTTGCCCGGTCACACTTTTACATTTCTGACTATAAATTACACGTGAGCCTTTGGCACCAGGTGGCAGTCTAACCACACACAAGGGTCCCTTCACTCCCGCGTCCTTCCTCTTAACTGCTTCACTCCAGCTTCTCTCTCCATCCTTCCCTTCCCACACCTGCAACTGATGGCCTTATTTTAATGAAAGAAAAAAAAGCAATGAGAAATGAGCATACCCAAGGCACCTGCACTCACTCTCAGAACCTTTCTGGCCTTACTTCCGTGTTTCCAAATAAGCTGGCCCACTCCCCTCTGCGTGAGACCCGCCTGGCTTCCCAGGGACACCATCCAGCAAATCTCCAGATTCCCTCCCATGATTTCTAGCTTCTACCAGCTCAGTTCTGTTGTAGATGAGCCTACTGAGATATCTGCCTTCTTCAAAACACATCACCCGCCCCCACTCCTGACCCCCGATTCCTGATGTGTCAGAAATTTTTTTAAAAACAAAACTAAAAATAGAACACATCACTTAGCTCTACCACCCCCTCAGAACTGCCTTGTGTCTTCAAAAACCAAACTGTTTTCTAGCAAAATCTTTCAAAAGTTGCCCGTAGTGACTGTCTCAATTCCTCTCCTTCTCTCAAACCAATTCTGGCCAGCACTTTATCCACCAAGATGGCCACAAAACTTTGCTTATAAAGAATAAAACAGCTCTTTCTATTGCTACGAGTGATTGGCTCGCACCTTCATTACTCCTGCTCAGTCTTTTCTTTTTCTGGCTTCAAGCACCATGCCTTCCTGGACCTCCTATCACTTCACCGGCTGGTCTTTCTCTTGTCCCTCACTGTTTAATACAGACCTGTCCCAGAGCCTGAGTCTCAGCAACCCTCATCCGGGGTCCCTGCTGAGCTCAGACAGGCTTGCGCTGTCCAAGTCAATCTGCATGCAGACAACTCTCAAATCCGCCTCTCAGGCCAGGCTTTTCTAAACCCAGACTCTTGCATCTAACTGCCTGGCCCCGCATAGACACACTGATGTTCCCAGCATTAAAACCCAGCTCAGCGCCAGCCTCCAAGCCCACTCCACCCACACCTTTTTTCATTGAGGTCAGTAGCTTCACTTTTCTAATTCCTTCTCTTTTTCTTGTATCTTACCGCAACCCCTTCCTCTTCTCCAACTTTCCTGTGGAAGCAGCCATCATCTCTCACCCCAGGACCTGGTCTCCTTACTTCCTACCTTGCCCGCTTAACATTTGTTCTCCACACAGCAACTGAGATCCTTTTCACACAAGTCAGGTGATGGAAACGCTCGGCTCAAGTGCCTGTGGGGGCTCACTGTCCACCTTCTTCCAGTAAAGTCAAGCTCCGCACGGGGGCTCCCAGTTCCCTGAGGCCTCGCTGGTCCCCACTCACACCAGCGCCTGTGGCTTCAAAGTCCCAGGCTCCTCCTCCACTTCCACTGTCAGTTGCCCAGCTATCCCTGTGACCACACCCGTCCTCTCCTTCAAGTCTCTGCCAGCATCACCTCTTCCGCGCAGCCCACCCTGACTGGCCGCCTCCCCTGCCTTGCCCTCCTCCACGTTCTCTGCCCAGTCTAATGCTTTCCTAAGGCTGTGGTTTGTTTCCTGTCCCTCTCTGCTAGCACACTCCTGGGAGGGCAGAGATGGGTGGGTCATCACGGACTTATCTCAGCACCTAACAGCAGCACGTGGGCTGGTACAGCATGAGGGGTTCTCAGTTGAAGGGTTGCTGGTTGTCCGAATAAAAGAGCCTCAGCAGTAAAGATGAGAGATGAGAGGCCTTCCAGGCGATCTGGCCTATCACCCCACCTCCAGGAGCAACCGCTGTTTTTTTTTAAAGGTCCTTGCTATACGAGTAACAGTGGTTTGTTTTCTGTGAGTTGTGTGTTTATATATTTAAATATTACATATATTTTTAAACACATTAAATATATATTACATATATTATATATATAGTGTATATATATAGAGAGAGAGAAAATTGGCACTGGGAAAACAAGATTTCTATGCAAGCTTTTATAGTGATGCTGTCGCCTATGAGATACCAGTATTTCATCCTAATATGAAAAAGGCAAATATAAAAATAAAATAACTGTAGGATTCAAGTGATATTCATCAATAGCAATTTAATGCCCTCTGCTGGCTGAAAGGCAGCAGAACATTTGAAAAGATTTCCAGGGGTTTGTTAACTGCTTCACAATGTAAAAAAAAAAAAAAAAAAAAAAAATCCAAAACAATGCAGTTGAATAAAGCTTTTTTTTTGTCATCATGAAAGAAAAATTGTTTCAAGCAGCATGTTTTTAAAATTTAAAATTGGGAACTTGAATCTTCTTTTTAAAAATAATTTGTAAAATGGATAGAATAAAAATATTGAGTATAGAAAAACAAGACATTGATGATGGCAATTTTAAAGTGCTAATGAAATCTACTGTGAAAAAACATACCATAAGTCAGTGCCAGGTATTGAGATGATGCATTCCAGTGCAAACAGTCTTTCCTAGAGACCCAGGCAGCCTGCTAAACAAGCTCAGATTTTACGAAACTTGAGTGATTTGCAAGTGGGCACAACAGATGAACCAGCAAAGGATGAAACCGAGGCTATCAGATTCAGTGGGCAAAATCCTGGGGTTCAGAACCTTCGTACCTGCCTTAGGAGGATCTAATTTGAGAAATGTAACAAATATTCAGAAAAACAGAACAGACACCAGGGCACCCCCCCTCCAAAAAAAAGGCTCATGGAAAATGAAATTAAAAGATGAATTTTAGGTCCTGGCATGATGGCTCAGTGGTTAAATCCTCCCCTTGCATGCACCAGGATCCCATATAGACACCAGTCCGTGTCCTGGCTGCTCTACTTCCCATCCAGCTCCCTGCCTGTGGCCCGGGAAAGCAGTCGAGGATGGCTCAAAGCCTTGGGACCCTGCACCGGCGTGGGAGACCTGGAAGAGGCTCCTGGCGTCAGATCGGCTCAGTTACAACCATTGCTGTCACTTGGGAAGTAAACAAGCAGATGGCAGATCTTTGTCTCTCCTTCTCTCTGTATAACTGCCTTTCCAATAAAAATAAAATTAATCTTTTTAAAAAATGTAAGTTTTTTAAAGTTTATTTTTGCCTCAAAAACCCCTGAAGTTCATGCATATGAAAGGTCTTCAACAAGTTCATGAAAATGCATGTGGTTAAAAAAAAACTGTGCATAGATTTCAACATTTTTTGCACCAAAATAAACTTGTCTTAACTCCAGTCCTGTGAAATTTTGCATTACTCTCATACTACTTTCTTAGAACTAAGCTCACATACCCTAATGCTTCTATCCTTTGTGTATTTTTAATAGTACTTCATTTGCAATGTTTGTATTGCAGCCAGTTTCCGTCTGTTTTGTACCTTCGCTACATCGCCTCCATTTGCCTTTATGCTCCCTAAGATGAAGGTGAATATTTTATTGAATTGATGTAAATTCCCCAGTGTTTACTGAGATGGGTAGAGATGACAAAATCTCTATAGCAGTTAGTCTTATAAAAACACTATTTTCTTTACCTTCTGCATTAAAAACAATGATCTTGGCTCTTGTTTCCTCCATTGATGATATTTTGTAAAATAAAAATTTTCCTATAATCACATAGCAAGACAGTTCCCACTCTCAGAGATGCTCACCCTGAACACCATTCATAGAACGCTGGAGAGGACTGTTCTCTTCCTGCAATGACTGTAGAACTGCCATTTGTTAATCCCAAAAGCCAGCACTCCTTACCTTCACAAAGCTCATCCGGATGGTACACATCTTTGTTAGCTCATAAACGACCTCAAAGCCATGGTGAACTGACTGAGCAAGCAGCTGAGCAAAGAGCTGGTTGTTGAAGACCTTGAGGCTGCACCCGCTGGGGATCTTGCAGACAGTGGCCGGGTGGAAGCCGTGCTGATAGTTGCAGTTTCGGCTCTGCACAAAGATGCTGCTGTCACTCACGCACTCTGCGTATACCTCTCCCCCGACGTAGTACAAGTGCACACCTGCAGATGCAAGAACAGCGGTCCTGCACACACCGTTTCACACCACTTACCACTCTGAGGTGAGTAAGATGTGTGATCCAGAGTCCATTTAACCACGGAACGCAACCCATATTAATGCCCAGTCCAACAACTAAGGCTCTCATATACTATTCTTTTCATCAACTCTCAATATCATGATTATTTGTCCTTTGAAAATAAAGTTTCAGGGGCAGGCTTTTGGCATAGTTAGTTAAGTTGCTGCTTCGGATGCCAGCATCAGAGTGTCTGGTACATAGCCTGGCTGCTCTACTTACGACCCAGCACCCTGGGAGGTACCAGATGATGGCTCAGGCAACTGGGTCCCCACCATCTGCATGGGAGACCGGGAGTGAGTTCTGAGATTCTAGTTTCAACCTGGCCCAATCCTGGCTATTGAGGCCATTGGGGAGTGAACAAATGGACAGAAGTTTCTCTGTCTGCCTTTAAACAAAACGAATAAATTTAAAAATGAAAAACAGGCAAGCTCTAAAAAATTGTTTGATAAAAACAAAACAAATTAAGTAAGCATTTTTAATTAAAAATTATGACTGAACACAGTAAACATCATGAAAAGGTTACTTAACGGCATACATTACACCTACTTCAAAGGAAACAAAATTTAAGTATTGATTCTCAAAAGTTACAAATCCATTCCTCTTAATATCTCAGAGACCTATTTCATTTGAAAGTTTATCACCCACTATTATAAATTATGTAAATGATGTCTGTTTTTCACTTAGGAGCAGTGAAATTCCCACCACATTCTCAGATTCAGTAATCCAAAACCTTACATGCGAAATATAGTTTATGCATCATTTTAAATCAATTATATTCTTGCAATTAAAGTTAAAAAAAAAAACATTCTGGGACTGTTGTTCATGCTAATTTCATTCCAAGCAAAATTTTAGTCAATCACTTCCCTCTAGAGACATGGGTCTGAAATTCAACATAAATTTATAGCAAGCAGATAGGGTTAGACAGAATGAAGATGCTCTAAGTACCAGAACAATTTTGAAGGAGGAAAAGCAACCTCAAGCACTCGATAAACAATTACAATTATTTATAATAAACACAATCATAAGTACAAGCCTCACGCAGTTAAGGATGTTCATAGAAATGATTCAGAATATACTTCTACTTTGGATTTCTTCCAGCGGAAATAAAGAAAAACTTTTAAAGAACAGAAATACAGACTTCCGTGGCTCCTCAGACCCAACTTTGCATTGCTCTGAATCTAGAGAACATTCTGCTAAAGCTGCCCAGAATCGGACAGGTCCTCCACAGCACTTCAGGCGATTCTGCATTACATGGGACTGCCTTGCCTGCATTTCCCTGCCCTGCAGCCAGTCTTCTTTTCGACAATGTTGAGCGTCAGGTTTTCCAATCGCATCGCCCAGAAGCACCACAGCTTGCATCCTCAGTGCAAGGTTCCCCTGCCCCGCCTGCACTGGCCGGCTTCCCCGCCCTCCTCGCTCAGCCCTGCTCTCCCTTCCCCTTCTAATCTTACATCACATACTCTCCAGAAGTGGAAAAAGAAGTGTCAAAATAAGGGTTTGGTATGTAGAAGGCATTTCTTTAAACAAACAAAAAAAGATTTATTTAAAAGGCAGGCTTAGAGAAGGAGAAGAAAGGGTAGCAGGAAGAGAAGACGAGAGGGAGGGCCAGAGTGACAGACAGATCCTCCATCCACTGGTTTACACCCCAATTGGCTGCAGCTTGGGTCGGGTCAGGTTGAAGCCTGGAGCCTGGAAGTCCATCTTTGTCATCCATGTGGATGGCAGGGGCCCAAGTGCTTGAGCCATCTTCCAGTTTTCTCAGGACATTAATACAGAACTAGATCAGAAGTAGAGCAGCTTAGACTGGAAAATGTGCTCCCTATGGGACACCACCATCACAGGGTAAGTAACACTGAGCCCAGGAAGGCACTTCTGGTAAGTCAGGTAGCTAACAAGCAGAGGGGCTAACGACTGCCAACCCCAAAGCCATTTGTGTCACCCAAACACCAAAACTTTACCTGTGCCAATTCAACTTGGCAGAAGGCTTGGCGTGTACACTTATCATGCAGCTGAGCCTCATACGCACCAGATACTACGACCTCTTCCTGGAGACGACACCACGTGCACTTGTAGCCACAGCTCTGCCCCCTGTGACTCCTCAGCCAAGCCCCGCCCCAAGCTCCACCCCTTATCCTGTAAAGGATGACCTCAGCCTGCCCAGGTGCAGTTCCCCCCAGGAGAACTGAGAACATCCCCTGAGCCCAGCCAGGGAGCTCTCAATCCCCACAACAGCTTTGAGACACTACAGAAAAACGTAATTAAAAAGATAGCTTTAATTTGCTACAAGTTTTTTTTTGCCATGAAAAATACTATTTTTATAAACTGGAAAAATGTGCATTATGAAAGAACTATGCATGGGTATATTAAAAAATTGCCATAAAAATAAACTGACACTCTAAATTCCATTTTTTCTCAAACTTTCCGAAGTACTCTCACATTTGACTTGAATGACCTTCAAATCTATAATCCTACCAGCACCTATTATGTAGAACAGATTTTTGTTATCTGACTTCGGTCTCTATTTAGGGGATGATTTGCAATGCTGTTATGGTGTTATCTGCAACCGCAGTCCACGTCAGCCAGGCTATAAGAACAGGGCAGGTCCTGAGTCAGGAGGGAGCTGAGCCCAGCAGAGGAGACATAGGCAGGGAGCCCAGGTCCCAGGCAGGAGGTAGGTGAGGTGTGGCCGCAGACAGCAGCACCAGAGAAGGAGACCTCCAGGAAAGCTGTTGCACCTGCAGCAAGCTGGCAAGCCCAGACTGTGGGTTAAACCGCTTGGAGCAGGTAGACTGCCGCAAAGTAGAACAGCAGTTCTCCAACTTTAGCTTGCACCAGCATTGTCTGCAGGGCTTATGAAAGCAGATCTTTCCTTCCTATGTCCGGGGTGAGACCCCACAGTTCACATGTCTGATCAAGTCCCTAGGGCAAAACCCAGGCTGACTGAGTCAGCCGCAACTCTGCGGAACCCCTGGATGTAGACATCTGAGCTGAGGTTACAGAACAGTCCCTGGAATGGAAAGGGCCAGATGTTTTACTAACAAATGTCTTCAGAGGAGAGTTTCAAAAGACTCTTTATCCCAGTGTGTTCAGGAATATCAGCACTCTCTCTGTGCTTTTATCTGCACTTCAGAACCACGTGTCCCTGGAGGCTGTTTTGTGTAACATTACTTCACAATGCAACAGGAAAAACAAACATGTGCAGATGGTACTACAGCTTGCTCCATGACAGGTCTCTAGGAAATGCTTGGCAGCGATATCACATCTATGGCTGTAATAATATATGACAGAAAAATACTAACGATAGTCATTGAGAAGCTTGAGATAAATAAGTGGAAAACACAGTTATTAAGGCTCTAGCTTCTCACAGCTCTTGGAAATGGAGATAAACACCCCCAGAGAAGATACTTCCCGAAGTGGCACACAGACCCAGGCAGTGTGGTCCTCAGGCAAGGTCCGCCCATATCCCTAACCGCACTCCCACTGTGCCTTCCTCTTTGAAAGGTGAAGTAACAGAGAGAGAGTGGGGAGGAGGAAGGCAAGGATGAGGGAGATGAGACAGAACCTCCATCCAATTGTTCACTTCCCAAATGGCCCCAAGGACCAGTGCTGGACCAAGGTAAAGCCAGAGGCCTGGGACTCCATTCCAGGTCTCCCATGTGGGTGGAAGAGACCCAGTACTTGAGCCATGGCCACTTTCCCAGGTGTGTTACCAGAGAGCTGGATTGGAAGCAGCGAGGTGTCCAACAGGGGCTCCGACACGAGGAGGGCGGTGGCGCAGGACATAGCTTTACATGCTGAGCCACAGTGCCACCTTCCCTCCCACAAATCCACTTTTGAATGAAGTTGGAAAGTTGGGGAGTCTGAGGCAAGCTGGTGGGATTTTGGTCTCGGGGGTCCTCTTCTGTTAAGGCTGCTGAGAGCACTCCCATGCTCTGGAATCTACTCACAGTCAGAGCAGGAAGTGGGTGTCCCTAACTGCGAGGAATGTACAGAGATTCTGGGAACTACAACCAGAGAACGCAGAGGTCACTGTATCCCTGCTTGCTCAGAGCCTCTGCTGCCCCTCCACTCTCCTTAGCAAAATAACAAGCTCATCCTTAGCAGCAGAGCTCAATATCTTCTCTCGGGCTTGTATTGATCTCTTTCTTGTCTCCACGGCTTTCTCTTCTGCCCTGCTATTTTAAAATCTGGCTGATTATCGGAGACATCCAGAGCTTTAAAACATACACATACACACACACACACACACACACACACACACACACACACACACACACACGCTCATTTGGGGCAGGCAGTGGGCACAGTGATTAGGACACTGCTTGGGATATAACACCCCATACCTGGGTTCAAGTTGGGGCTCTGCTGCTAATCCCAGCTTCCTGCTAACATGCCTGCTGGGAAGTGGCAGACCATCGCTCAAATGGCTGACTGTCTGCCAGCCACATGGGGCAGATCTTGACTGCGTTTTGGGCTCCTGGCCTTGGCCTGATCTAGCTGTAGCTGTTCAGAACATTTGGGGAAATGAATCAGCAGGTAGAAAAACAATCTCTCTCTCTCTTTTTTTTTTTTTTATCATTCTCTCTCTCTCTCCCTCTGTTTCTTAATGGTATTTAAGACTACTCCTTGAATAGTTAGATATACACTTGGGCAAACAGAAGAAGTCTGAAATTTGCTTTAAGATTTCTGGTAAACACATTGAAGCTGGAAAGATGAAAAGGGACAACACAGCAGGTGAGTCACTCCTGACGTCAGAACACAGATATGAAGACTTGTTATGTTACTCTGCATCTCTGTGCATGATTGGAATTTTCCACCATGAAGCACGTGTTAATATATGGTCAACATGTAATAGTATGAAAGTGGTTTTTCCCAGACTCGACATGAGGACCTGGGTCAGAGGACAGAAACGGGTCCTCCTGAGGACCGTGTCTATAGATGCACACTGCACAAGTCCAGGGTTCATCTCACTGTTCTCCAAGGTTTCTATCATTATTACAATACCTTCCAGCAGGTGGCCGTAATTTCACTCGAGGAAGGGATACCTTTTTCTACTTTAGACAGTTACCTCTGGGCAGGCAGGTTGATTCCTCCAATTTCTACTTGAGGGCTAATTATTCCTTCTGGATAATATGTTGAAGAAGCAGTTTGGGACCAAATGTATCATGCTAAATGTCCCATCACTGCCAGGGACACACCTGGCCCTTCTGCCTGGGTACTACTGTCTTGCCTTTCTCTTATCAATGTTCCCCCAAACAGATATTAAGAAAAATTATCTCCCCCCCAAATACCCCCGAGGGGCTGATGTAGTGGTTCAACAGGTTAATCATACACTTGCAAGCACTGGCACCCCATTTCAGTTCTGGTTCTAGTCCCAGCTGCTCCACTTCCCATCCAGCTCCCTGCTTATGACCTGGGAAAGCAGTGAAGGGCAGCCCAAAGCCTTGGGACCCTGAACCCGTGTGGAAGACCCAGAAGCTCCTAGATCCTGGCTTCAAATCAGATCATCTCCGGCTACTGTGATCATTGGGAAAGTGAAGAAGCAGACGGAATATCTGCCTCTCCTCTTTGTAAACCACCTTTTCAAATAAAAAATAACCAATTTTTTTTTTTAGAAGTTCTTGAGGCAACCAAGATCTCAGCCAGAATACAGCATTAATTCTACAACTGCTGACTTTCTTTTCTTTGCTCATCTGATTTCTTCATCAGAACACAGCTTATTCTCTGGTCTAACCTGGCTCCTCTTAACCCCAATTTTTTACTCAGTCGTCCCTGGCCCCAGCAGCTCTCCACAGCACTGTGTGTTTACAACACGTGCGCTCATCTCTAGTCCAGCACGGCCTTAGGGGCAGTGACAGTGGAGCAAACCATCCTCACATGGACAAGAAGGTCTTCTCTAGAACACCGAGAAAATAGACACTGAAAAATCAGCCACAAATCCACGGCCCAGAAGCAACGAAAGCTAGCATCTGTCACGTATCTTTCCATGCGCCGTGTGCACGTCAAGAAAAACCAGCATCGCACTCAGTAGGATATCTTTAAGCTTTCTGTGTTCATATAGTAAATCATGTGATACTAAGTATATTGCCAGATTCAGCTTAACGTCTGACATAGCATGACATCCTCTGTTAGCATACTTTCTAGGGTTCACTTATTTAAAGAGGAGAAACCTTACAGATGATCAAAGGCAGGATGGAAGGGATGTGTGAAAAAGGGAAATGGAATCCCTCGGGAAAGGAAGTGATCCACAGAACAGCTGCCAAGTGCACATGCCCCTCTGCGGGCACTGAGAAGCCAAACCCTGGCATCGGGACAAGTCCTTCCATAAGACTGCAAGAAGTACTAGCATTCCACAAGACACGAGAGATGCAAATAAAGAGTCACAAAAAAGCTGAAAAAGTAATTGTAAAAACAACTTTATTCAGTCTTGATTTGCCTCCATCTAAGTTCTACATGTGGCGTTAATGTCTCAGGCATTGTCATAATTATTTACCTTCTTTTCCCATGAAGAGAAGAACAGATATCAGTCAGAAAAACACAATCTTTCTACACCTGCAAAGAGAAATCAGCATGCCTTGCTTAGATGTCATCTCCTACCCAATTCCCAGGACCAGCCCACGGGGAGAGGTCACAGATGTAAACTAAGTTACACCAGATACCTCAGGTGCTCAGAAAACACCGTACCACTGACGATGACTTTATTAAGTCACAAACTTCTAGGAAACACAATCCCTCCTTCAAGCCCTACGTTCCTGCAGTTGAATCAAAGCTCTGCTTTGTCTATTTGGAAAATGAGGACTTCTTGAAAGCCAGTCTGTAAAAGCAAGCAGATATTTTTCCTCCAAATTTCTAGGCTAGGATGCTACTCCCCCGTCAGTAGAAGTGCCCCCTTCACTTTGTTCCTTGCAACTTCACATCAGTATTTCATGCCGGTGGCTCTCCTGATTTTTTTCTATAAAGACTGTTGGAAAACTCCCCTGGAGGTGCCAGCTCTGTGCAACTCTCACAGCAGTTCTATGCTTCTAGCATGACACTTGGGCAAGAAAAACACAAACTCTAATTTCCAGCTTCAAATTATTGTCAAATTTCAGCACTGTACATGTCAGCAGCCCCTTCTTTCAACTGTTTTATCATTGATGGTGTAGCATGCGTACCTTCCTCCCATACTGATTTAACTCTGCACACAAGGCACCACAAAGGATGCCAAGGGAAAAAAGGCAGGAGCTTCTGGACCCTGCAGGACATGGGGAGTGACTGGGTCTGACACGGAACCATGGGTGTGAAGCCCTGGTTTCACTTGAATGACCACAGGTAAGCTACTGCACTCTCTCAGCTTCAGTTGTTTAGTCTGTAGAGTAAGAGTAACAAAAGGATTAGAAATAACAGGTGCAAGTGCATGCTGGGGGGCCGTACATATCTTAGGGAATCAATGGGGCTCCCTATGACCATCATCACCATCATCTTCGGTGTTATTTAGTACGTCACTGAAAAGACTTCAAGTGGCTTGTCCAGCTTTCAAGAAAGAAGATGGGAAGATTCTACATTACAACTCAGTGTTCCAGATTTAGCCAATTTCTCTGACACTTCTAGTGCTAACTTCTTAGTAGCTATTTAAAGCTATTAAGACTCTTTATGGCACAAAGTAACAGGTCCAGTTCCCTTGGCACCAGTTAACTGTTGCATCTCAGTCCCCTCAGCTTACAGTGCACCCCAGTGAATGCAGAGCTGGGTGAATCTGTACAAAGCGTCACTACCACAGAAAACACAACTCCAAGCACAGATGTCGGAGGTAATCCATCAAGGCGTGGAGGGAGGTACCCTTTTTTCACTGCTACATCCCTAATGTCCACTCTAGCTAAACAACTGTGAGATGGGTGCACAACACTGAAGTCTGTCTCTCTTGCTTGCTATCCCTGGGGTGCATTCTGCAGCCACAGAAGTGACACTGCTCAGAATCAGTTCATCCAGGGTAGGACTCACAGGAGACTGAAGCCTATTGCTCTAGAATATTCCAAGCCATAATTTCTCTTCTATGTTTTGTGGCTTCTCTTATAGCTCCGCTAGAAAGAATCAACTTATTATATTTTTCTTACTATAGTAATTCTTAAACAGCTTTCTAAGAAAAGTGTGACTTTGTCTCGGAGGACAATGGAAACCAAAGCACCTGTTCATCCACGTGAACAAGGAGGCAGGTGTTTGCCACCAGCTCTGGGCACTGGTGCTCACATAGTTCCTTAATCCCTGGGGTCAGCTCTCCTCGAACAGGACAATCCTCCATGTCCTTATCAGGAGCATCTTGAACAAGCTAGACAGGTGTTCCACACACCTTAATATTGTCATTCTATCTTTGACTTCGCCAGAACCCAGCCTAATGCAAAGCGGTCTGCAGACTCTGACCCTCATGCCCACCAGCCAATAGTCCTTGTGCAATGTGCTTGTATGCTGGCACTGGGGGCCACACCAGAGTCCCTCCAAGGTCACTTCCTAGTAAAGCCCTCCTAGAGAAGTTGAAGAGTTCAGTCAAAGTGAGAGCATCATGTCTTTTGAGGAATGGTTCTGTTTCTCCTCTTGGGATGAAAATGACCTTGCAGAATGTGCTCCCCTTTCTGCCCTCCCTGTCGGGAAACCTAAATGAAGACCAGCGTCATCACACCAACCCTTATGGATGACACACTAGGGTCTGTTCTTTCCCCGCAGTTGCTATTTTTTTTTTTTCATTTCCCATTTCATTTGCCAGGGTTCCTGCCACTGTGGAGAGAGAGACACTGTAAATAAGCATGGACATCAAGAGTCAGCATCAGTGAACGAATCCAATCCCATTTCAGACCAATGTCCTGTACCTTCGCTACAACAGGGCAATGGGCAGGCAGCTTCCAAAGAATGTTAGAAGGGATCACCAAGTGAAATAACAAACATCTCAAAAACTTGACAGAAAAGGCTCAAGGCTACCTTCCTAAGGAGGTATAAGTGCTAGATGTGGACAGACAGCAGCAAATGACAATGAAGGGCCTTAACCCTTGGGACTCACAAGCATCAGTGATTCAGACAGAAAAGAAATTAAAGCTCAACAGGGCCTCACACCCAGCTGGGAGTTACTACCATTGCCCGCTTCGCTGATGTGAGATGTGAAACCATCAGCAGTCACAGACCATCCCGACAACTGCCGGGACAGCTCCAATTCCCTCCCAGGGCTTCCACTCACCAACGCTGCTTGGAAAGTAGTCACTATTACCTAACTTCTCAGTCTAATAGAACTACAATTAATCACACTGCCAGAGTTCTTCTTGTGCATCAATCATTCATTTATAGGAAGGGTTAAGCAATGTAAAAACAATGCATGTTGCTTTCATTCAATAACATGACCACACAATCATGTTTATCACCTTGCTTTGCCAACAGCCCCCGTGCCGGCCTCCAGGAGATGCTCTGTGGCATCCAAAGCCGAGAACCCAGGTCTGAGGAGCAGACCATATGCTCCCACCAGGGCAAAGCCCAATCATCCCCAGGGTTGGGGGAGAGGGAGAGTCCTGCCACCCTGGAGAAGGAAGGCCAGGGCAGGGCTGGCCTCCAGCTCCGCGTGTCAGCTCAGAGGGCTACCCAGTGAACTTCCCTCAGTCTCTTACCCTTTCCTATGTGTCTTCTGGTGTTTTCTATCGTGGAGTTTCGGTTTACATTAGAAAGGAGTCCAAGACAGAATCTGTTCCTGTTGTTGGAGGGGTCTGTGAAGCCGTCGATGAGCACGCTGCGAGAGGAGGCCTGGAACGTCTCCCCCACTCGGTTATTCAGTTCGTAGTAGGCCACTGAGCACCAGTGCTGGGGCTCCTCGTAGCAAACAGGCCGGAAGTCTGAAAGAAAGGGACCCAGAGGACAGCAGCACAAGGCGCAGTTAGAGAGCTGGCTGCAAAACCAGGCTGGCTGCCTTGTGACCGTATAAAACCTGCCACTTGGCGGCGAGCACCACCTGTAGTGAGGTGGCTGCACATCTGTACACATCTACCAGGAAAACACAACAGGAACTGATCGATGGAAAGAACCACCCCTAAAGCCAACATCGCTGGCAGGAAGCTGGAGGGCAGCTCACCTTTACATGTGAAAGTAAGCACACTGCTGTCACAGGGCCATGCAGAATCCCTGCGGCCACAAGTAGGACTCTCTCACGAGCTTGGGTGTGACAATAATAATCTTGGGGAGGAGGGAGCAGGGGTGATACAGCATTGTGATACAGTGAGTTAGGCTGTCACTTACAATGTCAGCTCCTACAGGAGCTGGTTTGAGTTCCTGGCTGCTACACTTTTAACCCAGCTCCCTGCTAATGGCCTGGGAACGTAGCAGAAGAGGCACAAGCCTGCAACCCACATAGACCTGGCTAGAGTTACAGCTCTCTGCTTCAGCTTGGCCCAGTCCTGGCTTAGCAGACATTTGGAAAGTGAGCTGGCAGATACAAGATCTCTCTCACTCTCTCTCTCTGTGTCTCTCTCTCTGTCACTCTACCTTTCAAATAAATAGAATAAACCTTAAAAAAAAGAAGAAGAAGAAAAGAAAATGAGGCATAGGTTAGAGGTTAGCAGGAATTGGGGAAGGGACCAATGAAGAGTTACTGCTTAACGGGCATAATTTCTGTTTGGTGACATAAGAAAAAATTTTGCAAATAATAATGGTCACCGTCTTATAATGCTATAACTGTACTTAATACTATTGGACTGTAAAATGGCTAGAATGACAAACTTTATCATATTTTGCCACAACACAAAAAGTTAATGCAATATATGAAGAATGATTGAACTGTATATTGAATTTTATTGCATGAGGCTACTTCAAAAAACTAGTGGAAAGTAGAATTACAAGTTTATTTTATTTTGTTTTATTTTAAAAGATTTATTTAATTATTTATTTATTTATTGGGAAGTCAGATATACAGAGAGGAGGAGAGATAGAGGGGAAGAGCTTCCGTCTGATGAATCACTCCCCAAGTGACCACAACGGCTGGTGCTGCACCGATCCGAAGCCGGGAACCCAGAACCTCCTCTGGGTCTCCCACGTGGGTACAGCGTCCCAAAGCTCCGGGCTGTCCTCGACTGCCTTCCCAGGCCACAAGCAGGTAGCTGCATGGGAGGTGGGGCTGCCGGGATAGAACCAGCGCCCATATGGGATCCTGGTGCGTTCAAGGTGAGGACTTTAGCCACTAGGCCACGCCACCGGGCCCACAAGTTTATTTTAGTATAAAAATTTTGAGGGCACAAATTTTTATTTATGACACGCAAAGAATACATATTATTTTTTTAAAAATTGCATGGATTTCGTTTTTATTGCAACAATACAGACTTCTCGTTTTAATTCCATTTTCCAAAAGCTTTTTGAAGGATCCTCTCACATACAAATTGCAATTAAATAAATCTATTAAAATACTAGGATCTGAACCTGTTCATCTCAGTAGTTCCTTTGTCTTACCTATTATTCTGCTTATTCTAGTTAGCATTTTGCTATTTATTAGTTAGAAAATAATTAGAGTCTTTGAAATACAAAGAGCCGTGCCTTCCATGGGAAGCTACCTGGCTTCTTTTACTTGTACTTCACGGGTGGGGAGTCGAGGAAGAGAAGAAAAAGCACATCAACCTGTGAATGTAACTATAGCAGGAAAACGGGCCAGACAGGAAATCATGGCATAGAAGTGTGCTATGTAAACATGTATTTTACAACATAATTATCCTGTCCCTTCACTGTGGCTCTGCCCTCGAATGACTTCTCTCCCTGCCCTGGTCACCCTTCTTGGTGAACTTGGCCACTTGTGAGGCTGCATGCACCTGCTCACCTCTGTGCAACGGCCCCCAAGCTTGCAGCCAGCCTCCCAGCCAACTCCCCCGCCTTCACTTCACTCCCTTCTAACTCCACACACTTTAGTACACGTCCTCATACCCCAGGCTCTCTCACCCTAGGTTACATCTGTGCCACCATTCTTGGCAGCCTCTGCCTCTTGAAGGTCAGAACCCAGTAATTTCATCCCCGCTGCACCCCAAACATGGCACAGTGCCAGGCACTCAGTTATTTCTTACCACGTCGATAAAATCCATTTTCTACAGTCCTGAGTGGCATGCCCATGTCCCAAATGCCCAATTTAGGTACTCAATAAGCAACTAATGGGCAACTACTGAGCTTCAGGCTCTGTGCTGGGACACAGAGAAGACTCACAATGTAACGGCAGGAACAGACACACAAGGATTTTATATGTGCATGTGTATATAAAATACATTGTGTGTGTGTATATAAACACATATGTATATCTAAAGCATGGAACCCATGAGCAGGGATCTACATGCAATTTGCTGAAATGATAACAAAGCAACAGTAAATAACTCAAAGGGAAGCAGCAACTCCTTTTTCATCTTCCCACACTGCATGGGTCCTTAAGGGCAAGAACCACCTTTGTTTCCCCTTTTAACAACATACAATAACAGCCTATTATATGTTATCTGTGAAACACATGGACACGTGAAAGTAACTGTCTCTAGCTTCTTCCTTTGCCTTCCTCAAACTTTTTAAGTCCAGCAGCTGTGGAAGACTTTGTTCCGGTTGCTGTCCTGGCTTCATAGGGCTTTAAAAAAGGCCCAAGGGCTGAGGACAGCCAGGGGCTCACCCTGTGTGCCCCTGAAGTGACTCCGGTGTCTGCTAAAGACAGCGTTTCCCTACAACTGTTGCAAGAGCGAACCTGAGGCCACGCCTAATGTTCCTCCACGGTGCCTGCCCTCAGGCCAAGCCCTCCTGCTGGGGTTAGAGATGCATCTTCACAATTCTTTCTACTGTCTTAAAAAAAAAAAAATCCTTGGAAATTCTTGCTGCTCAAAGGCATGCAATGTTGCAGAGCTTTCGGGGAGTGAGGACCAGAAACTAGAGCAAAACCGTGTCATAGCTCCATGGAAACTGCACCAGGCTGGGCAGGCTCCAACGGGGGGCCCACAGCCCAATGGTATGCAAACTGCAAAGCACGAAATGAATATCAATTGAGATGAGTTCAGATCACCCACCACGGATAATTGTGCTGGGTTGTACTTTCCCACAGATGGTAGCTCTTACTAACCTGAGTGCTGATACGGGCTGTCGGGCTCTGCAGGACTTCCCGGGGAGTGGGGGTAGCTGGCGGTGCAGGGGGACTGCAAGAACATGTGGCTGGGCGAGGGTGGGGGTGCAGAGCACGGAGGCTGCTGGAAGGAGTCCGGGTAGGTGGCATTGTGCGGCATGAGCGGCTCGCTGTGCAGGGAGGCGCTGCGGAACTTGGCCAGCAGGCTGAGCTGGGGGTTATATTCACTGTGCCGGGGCACTAGGACTGGAGGCAGCACTAGGAGAAGAAGAGACAAAAGAGTGAATTGCAGTCAAGTTCAGGGGTACAGAACGCAATGCACATCCACTTCCTGATGACAACGCCGCTCTTTGCTTTGGGAACGACCCCTCTGCTGTCCTGGATGGTCCCATATCCACACAAGAGGCGAGGGTTGCCCATTGCCCTGCTCAGAGCCACGTGCACCTGCAGTAATCCGTCACAATTCCTGAAAGAGTTCCCGGAGGCTCTTTTGAATGTCAGCACTCTAAAGACTACCCATTCCATCCCACCTTGCAAATGAGCTGTTCTAAAGTTGGCCTTCGGGAGACCGGACTGCTTACATCTGCCTTTCATTCTGCCAATAGTCTTCCTAATGTAAAAAATCGGTTTCTGTTGCTTGTAATGAAACCTTAAGTGATATCTAAAATATGTTTTCCTTCAGAGGCCATGCTGAATTATTTAGCTGGGCAGCCTGGATTTCAGGCTCAGCAGTGCTACTGGAATCAAAAGAAAAGCTGTTCGTTCTTACAGAAAGATTTAAAGGTAACTCACAGAAGGTTATTAAGTAAAATACAATCGCTGAACAATAGTGACAATGAGCAAGTCAAAGAGACCAGCCATGAGAACAGCGACACCCCGCGTGTTATTGCTGTGCTCCACTCTTGCAGAAAAGAAATGACCATTCCTGATCTTGATTTTATACAGAATCTAGAAATGGATTCTAGCTCTCAAGGGCAAGCTTTGCCGGGCACTCGGAGTTTGGGGTGACTTTCAAAGTGTTTGTTGTCCAGCTGACACAGGGCACCCCACAAGAGTGGCTGGCATACTTCCTGTGATTTCTATAAGCTGTCCAGGCAGAAGTAGAGAAAACAATGGGGGGGAAGGCTTTGGCAAAAATAAATAAATAAATAAATAAATAAATAAATAAATAAATAAATAACAGAAGAAATTCCTAGAGCTGACAAAACAAAAAGGTCTAGGTTTCCAGATGCAAAAGAGCCGCAGGGCGCAGAGGTCAGCAAATGAGAAGCGATGCAGAACTCTCGGAGCCCTCCACCAACTCCGGATCACTGTCACAGCTGCCAGAGGATCACTTCAAAGTCACCTACCGAAAACAGTATCAGCTTCCCACCCTGAGCCCGAGGATCAGCCAGTTCTTCCCTCCAAGTTTCACAACAGAAACCAGCAATCTAAACTATCAACAACAGTGAGCTAAAATATAAACATCAAGGAATGAAGCAAAGAAGGAGGAGGGTGAGGCTAAAAGCAGCTAAGTCATCATCTTCCATCTTCCATGTTAGCAAATCAGTGAAATCACCCCAGAGAGACCAGTTTGCAAGCATGTATCACTGAACTCCCCTCGGACACCTTCAGAATGTTTAGTAATCATGTAAGGAAATGGCACAAGAACAAAGCAAGAAATGGTTCAAAAAACTGTTTCTGGAGATGGGTGGGTTACCCTAGCTTCTAACGACACCACTGATTCATTAACACGTGCAAATGTTGATAGACACTAACAAAAATTGTTCTAAAATAACTCTTGAAAACTAAAATCCAGGGCCCAGCGCAGTAGCTTAGTGCCAAAAGCTCTTGTCTTGAACGTGCCAGAATCCCATATGGGCACCGGTTTATGTCCTGGTAGCCACACTTCACAACCACCTTCCCTGCTTGTGGCCTGGGAAAGAAGTGGAGGACGGCCCAAAGCCTTGGGACCCTGCACCCCTGGGGAGATGCGGAAGAAGCTCCTTGGCTTCAAATCAGCTCAGCTCAAGACATTACAGCCACCTGGGAACTGAACCAGCATATGAAAGATCTTCCTCTCTGTCTCTCCTTCTCTCTGTATATCTGCCTTCCCAGTAAAAAAAAAAAATTAATGTAGAAATAAATGTTTTAGAATGAACAAATGATAGCAACAGTAATACAAAAGCAGTAACCATATCACAAAGTCTATTATTTACCTTTTAATAAAACACATTCATCTCTCTTGTTTTCAACAAGAAACAAATGTCAGTTCAAAGGGTAAGAAATAAAAGGGTAAGAAAAAGTTTTAAGCTAAAACATCTACAGGTTAGTGGCAGACAACCAAATGACTTCTTCACCTTCACAAACTAGGATTTGTGCACACTGACTCACAGCATCTCTAACAATCCAGGAACATTCAACATTAGCACACAAAAGCGACACAGTGGCATGCCACCACGTTGCCTGCACAACACTGAAGGACGATCAAGATGACCTGCATCGTGTAGTCAGAAATGAGGCACTGCTGCCACAAGCAACACACCACCGCGCTCAATAACACTTGTTCATCACAATGTTGCCACACACACCTTATTGATGAAGAAGAATTTGAACAACTCCTGTGGCTTTAGACATCTACAGTGTTTTCCTAACCTGGCACTGCCCTGGCAATACAGACTTTTACTCCTAATGCCTGCAGATCTGCGACACCAAGAGAAAAGCAAAGGTATGTTGTTCTTGGTTGTGAAAAACATCGTGACACTCTGCTTGTACCTGCGTAAAACCAAAGGCAGTGAAGGAAAGAAGAGATGGTTTTCTCTTCCTCATTGTCTGCCTCACTATTGCAGCTGCTTTAGGTTTAGCTGGATAGCAGTTTTAAATGCTTTCCTGGTCATTATATTTTCTTTCCACACCTCAAATGCAGTTCGACGGAAGGAGTTTAATTTATGCTACCTACAGAATGCAACTGTGCTTGGAATCAGGGTCTCTGGTCCTCCCTCAGATACCCAAATCCGCAGATGCTGAAGGCCCTTCTATAACATGGCCTGGCACTTGCACACAACCTATGCTTATTTTTCTGCCTGCTTCAAATCATCTCCAGATTACTCAAAATGCCTAACAATGTGAACTAAAAATACCATGAACATTGCTGCTACACTACAGTCTTCGGGGAATCAGACAAATCTGTGTATGTTCAGGATAGATACATTAAAAAAAATAGTTTCACTTTGCACTTGGTTCAATATGCAAAAGTTAAAACCTGTGGCTTAGTGGTGCACCTGCCCGCCTCCCTACATCCCTTCTTTTACTTTTTTTTTCTCATATACCTCTTCTTTACATCTCAGTGCTGCACTGGGGCAGATAACAGGAGCTCCCGGTGTGTGGGGATGCCAAGCCACGCTGAATACAACATCTGTCCCCCTTTTTATAAAAGGCAAATGCCTTGGATATACAGGTTGAATATCCCCTATCTGAAATGTTTCAGAGCAGAAATCTTTCAGACTGAATTTTTTTTCTGATTTGAAAATATGTGCATAGTTTTTTTTTTTTACAGGTTGAGCATTCCTAATCCAAAAGTCTAAAATCCAAACTGCTCCAACATTCAAATGTTTTTAGTGCAAGCTCAAATTTTAGAGCATTTCAGATACCAAATTTTAAAATTTATTTTTAAGTTATTTTTTGAAAGATTTACAGACAGGAGAATCAGAGACAGAAAGGAAGAGATCTTTCATTAGCTCATTCATTTCCCAAAAGGTTGCAATGGCCGGAGCTGGACCAGTCCAGAGCTGGGGACCAGGAGCTTCTTTTGGATCTCCCACGCAGGTGCAGAGTAAACAATGGTCGGGGCTCAGACTACGAGGAGCCGAGCACTGAAACAGAAAGTGTTCCCAAACTTATAATGGCAGTTTGACAGAGTAAATTTTACGTATACCTAAATAAGTAATTTTAAAACTTGTATTCTTTTTCTATTGTTTTGTCTTATTAATTAATCTGGATTGTACAGTTACTCATTTGAAACAAAATCTAGCTTGATGGCTGAAGAAGTACTGAAACAGACGACGGAAGTGGATGCGTGAATGAAAAAGTCAGAACGCAACCTTCAGTGTACCTAAAACAAAGGTCAAAAAATGAGAGCTCGCAGGCAAATGTTGTTTAACATTCACATTTACACTATCCTTAAAATATTTACTTTGAACATGACTACATAAATAGATACAAAACCTATTTCTTCTACTTAAAAAATGAGGTCTGGATCTTAAAAAAAAAATACTGTAGTTTAAATACTGCCTTAAATTAATATGATCTTTGCTCATTTTCCATTCTAGACATTCAAACCCAAAACATGATGCTAGGAAATCTGCCGTATGCAAATTTCTAAGACCAAAATGTCCTAAAAAATACTGTGTAACTTAGAAGACTAAAATATCAAACAGCTCTTTAAAGTTTAGCTTTCAAATATTCAAAAGGAATCCCAGATATTTTACAAGGGAATACCTACATCCTCCAAGTTCACCATTCAGGAAGAGAGAAATGATTTCTTAGTGAACATCCTTCCATTTTTATATATTCTGGGTGCTTAGAATAACTAAAATTTGTTGAGCTAAAAGAGGAAATCAAGTCATTTTTGTCATAAACTCATATTTCAGGTATGCAAAGGGTCTAAAGGGAAGCAGTAAGGAAGAATGCAAAGACCTCCATGACTGAGGGAAAATCCATCAGATTTGCCAAGAATGTGAGACTTCCTAAACTCCATCTCCCTGAGTCTTGGCCTGTAGGTGCAGCGGTTGTGAGCAGATGGTAAGTACCGGGCTGTCTGAGAGGTCACCTGGTGAGACTGACACAGGCTGAACGAATCACTTAGTCAACACTGCACAAAGGGACAGCGAACCCTTGGGCCACTACCTGGACAGCATTTGGTTGGACAAGGGCAATTGCCCTGAGCTGATGGTTCAGCCCTTTGGTTTCTTGGAAAGGGTCAGATGGCCAATCCAAAGTGCCTATAAAATCTGTGTTCTTGCCCAGAGGGTGACACTAAGACTGAATCTAGTGAGAACTGCAGTAAAACTGTTGAGTCAATGTGAAGCAATACAGATAAACACATCTTCTCCCAAAAGGGAGATGCGAGAATGGGATGGGACAAGGCGTGTGAGATCTAGAGTTAAAGAACGGTACTTTCCCATATGTAAGTACAGTAGTTTCCATGAGTTCAGGAAGTCACTCTAGACTCCACTGAGGCTCAGCTGTCAGTCTTTGCCCAGTTCCCACTGTTTTCAGTCCTGGGATGACTTATAGCAAATCCTTAGTTGGTTGTTAACAGCCCCAGATGAGCTATTTTCCACTTGCCTGAACTTCAGGAAAGTGACAGTTAAAAATCCATCTACAGTTTAGTTCAAGACAATTCTGTTCAACTCGGTTATATGTGTGTGAAAGGGGGAGATGAGCTATTTCTTTCTTTTTTTTTTTTTCTTTAACAGCTAATCGTTATCAAGGTTACTTTTAAACTACCACAGGTTCTAAGAAATAGAAAAAAAAAAAAAAAACGATGATTCTTCCCAAATACAGTAAAAAAGCATTTCATTTTTCAAGATCTCACAAAATTTACATGTGTACTGAATGAAAAATGATTTTCTAGATTTTTCTGACTACCAGGGTTTGGATGACTTTCCCAAAGTTGAATCAATCCCTCTCTCTCTTTCTATCTCACTCTCAGAGGTCTCCAGCCCTCTCCCCATCTTTTGGGAGGACCCTCACCTTGAACACAAACCCACACGCGGTCAAGAAGACGTACCTGGGGTCTCCACCCTGCGGTAGTGGTAAGGGTTGATGCACACTTCCTTCTGCTTGGAACCGAATGGGAACTCGCAGCACTCCAGTGGCTTCAGCTCGTGGTGGGACTGGAGATCCGGCCAGCGCCACACGCGGCAATAAATCACGTGGGGCAGCCCCTTGCGGTGCGACACCTGCAGCCGCCCATCCAGGGATCGGGGGATGGTGACGCACCTGCTGGGCTGTCCCGGGCAGCTGAGGGCCCGCTCCAGCTCGTCCATGGCTCCTTTCTTCTTCTTGAGTTTCTTCACCAGAGAGTCCACGGCCTTCTCCGCCCACTTCTCCTCCTCATCTCCTTGCTTCCAGCCAAGCAGCCTCTTCACTGCGGGGCTGGTGAAGGAGAAGAGGGAGCTGATGGGGGTGCTGGAGTGCATAAGCGGGGACCTCGGGTGTCCAGAGCACAAGGAAACCAGATCCAGGGCCCTTCACGGGAGAGGAGGCCCTCAGGCAGCCGGCGGCAGGTATCTCTCCTGGAGTGTCATGGGTACAAATCTGTCTTGCCTTCCAGAAGCAACTGTGATGGATTCCAGGCGAGAAGAGTGCTGACCTCCGAAGCGTCTGAATGGACTGTCAACCCTGAAAGACAAGACTGCATTCACTTCTCTCACTTCCATTCACTTCAGCAGGGCCCCTGTTACCAAAAGTTACCAATGGAGAGAGAAATGGGAAAACAGCCGATGAATGCCTGAATTTTCAAACTCTCATCGGGCTTTGACCCTGACCTCTCCTTCATCACCAATATCCGGGTCTTGGTCGTTCTTTCAATGTCTTAAAACACTTGTCCCCCTGTCTCCATCTCCAGTGACAGCCAAGGCACCTGCACTTCACCCCTCACCTGGTCACTGCAAACCCCTCCATAGTAACTTCTCTTCTTTCTGAATTTGAATCCACCTTCTGCCAGAAATACCTCTTACTAAATCATATTCCTTCTAAAGAAATTACAGATACACAGCAGTGGGGTGACCGCAGTTCGCAATGACATATACCCTCCTGCATGAAGAACTAGGGAGAGGAGCTGGCGGGTTCCAAACACAAAGAAGAGAAAAGCAGACAGAAGGGCTGACTGCCTGACTTGATCCACTTAAGTCGCGTGCACGTACTGAAGTACTCACTGCTGTCCAGACACATGTACAAGCAGGACATGCCAACCAAAACCTTTTTAGAAATTAAAGAAGGAATGACATGACTTCTTGTTTTTCCCAGGACAAACCTCTCCACTTGGGTTTCTAGGCCCCCATAAGCTTCCCTTAACAAACTCATTCCTCTTTCTTACTTTCAGGTTTTGCAAATAACTCACTGTCATGAATACACACATGCCGACGAAAAGGAGAAACGTCAGGAATGCTAATAGTCTCCCCACACGGGGGAAGCTACGCGTCACATAATGTTCACAGGACTGCGATTCTCAAAGGGTCCTCCAAAGATCTCTGGGAAGTCCCTGAGACCCCCCCATCCACCGTGGGGAAGAGAACTATAGGGTCCTTTCTTCTCCAACTACACATCTGTGGGAGCTGAATCCTGGTCACACACTTCAGCCATACAAACACTGTACGCAGCGGCAGATACGAAAATCCAAGTGGCATCTATTAAGCCAGGTACTGAACAGATCCACAAAAATACGAAACAAGGAAAGTCTCCTAATCTTTTTTGAAATAGGGCCCTTTAAATTAAAAAAAATCTCTATGTTGACTTGCAATGGGCATATTATTTTTAATAAATTTTTTTATGCATCAGTTTTAATTCCTAAAATGGTCCAGACTGATAGATACCACTCGCATAAGCAAAGGTATCTGGAATTCTCAAGAGGAGTGTTTTTTTTTCTTTTTTTTTTAGAAAAACCATTTATTTGAAAAGCAGAGAGACAACAGAGAAAGACAGGAAGAGGTCTCCTTTCTGCTGATTCACTCCCCAAAATGGAAACAAGAGCCAGGGTGGGCAAGGCTGAAGCCTGGAGCCAAATACCCATGCCATCTCCTGCTATCTTCCAGTATGCACATTAGCAAGAAGCCAGACTTAAGGTCTGAGCCGGGACACAAACCCAGGCACTTGGATATGGGATGTGGGCGCCTGAAGTGGCCCTGCCCACTGCGCCAAACATCTGCCCCCTCCATCATGTTTAAAACAGGAAATGGTCCTAGGACCAAAAAGCTCAAGAATTGCTTTGCTAGAAGTTATATGTAGTAAAATGTACATCACACATTTGTAATTTTGCCTCTTAGGGCAAATCTGTTGTTTATCTTTCTTTTTTCAGACATTCTTTGTCCGTTACTCAATAGTCCCATTTAAATGTCCTGAAGCAGAAATGCATGTCTTGTCTGTGAAATAGCTGGCTCAAACAAAACTTTCTCCTTCTCCCAGATTTGAGAAACTGCTCCCTCATTGTTTTAAGTGGCTATTGGTAAAATTTGGAGCAAGCAGATTCATTTTAGTAACTTGGAATCGATCTAGCGCAGAATCTCCAACAACTGCTTGTTTAATATGCATTAAGTATATTTTTCTCCTTGACTTCCCCAGGAAGAAAGTGGCACCTTTCTGAGTCCATTAATACAAATTTGTTTTGGACAAAGATGCCGTGTCAACTTGGCCATGGTGACAGTACCTCTTCCAATGGTGTCAGCCTGGTTACACAAACATCGAGGACGTCTAATAAGTGTAAAGCCACACATCATGTTCATCCCCATATGGATTTTATTTAGGCTCAGGCAGAGGTAAACTATGATGAAAAGGAGAGTTGAGGGCTCAGGGCTGTTCTTTTTCACTTGGCAGTTTGACTTAGGCCCGGTTTTGTTTGGAAAGGTTGGTTTTGTGGCTTAACAATCGCGAGTTTATAAAGTAGAGTTAAGTCACTGTTTCAGCTTCTGTTTATTCAATCCAGACAGGCTGCCTTAAAGCCATGCTTGGACGAGGTCAAGAGGTCCGAGGAGGAGAAGCAGCAAAACACAGAAGAACTGGAGCCCCCCAAAAACCCAAGGATTCTGCTTAGTTTTACACAGGATTTGTTATTAGTAAACTGAGGCATAAATCTTTTCGCTGAGGTCAGTGCTAGAGAAAAACTTTGATAAAAACGTTCAGCAGAGTTCAATTAAATATACTTTTGAAAACACGGTGCCCAAACCAAAACACTAGGTTTGGTTTGGTTTTATTCTGTTATTTCTTCTCTGCAAATGACATGCAAGATCAATTCAATGTAACAGAATACAAAGTATTAGGTGCACACCATTGGAGGGCAGCTGAAAAGGAAAGAGTGCAACAGCATGCCTAACAATTTCACTAGAACCTTTCACTCCGAGGTATATCCAGAAGGTGTGTGTATGGGTGCATGGATTCAGGGACACAATGCAAAACCTATTTGTGTCTCCATGCTCGGATTGGTGACTCCAGCCACCTAGTGCACGTGGTGAGCTGTCCCCGGGCCTGCCTGGGTTCCAGGGGCTGCTCCCTTCGGGGTGAGTACACCTAGGAGGGAAGTCTCGGGGGTTGGGCAGGCCTGGGGCCCACCAGCTGCCCTCATTGAGCAGTGAATGGGATTGGGGAGGGTCGCAACCTTGGGCCTGGGGCTTGAAACTTCCAGCAGCCTGCCGGCTGCTGCTGGGTGCCAGGCCAGGCTGTCTCCATGCTCTGGGGTTTTGTTTCTTTGAATTGCTGCTTAGGTAGCTCCACGTTGAACCCACTGTGCTTCTGGGATCTGAATCAATCCTAAAGATTCCCAGTGACAGCAACTTATCCTTTGAAGAACTTGTAACGCTGACCACCGAACACCAGTCCATGCAAAAGCTAAGGCTCGGGGCTTCTCTAGCAGGATCATATCCTATTACCTCACATGATGATGGATCAGGAGACAGGTCACATTAGGCAGAGCCATGACATTAGCTAGCACTCAAGAGAACCATATCCAGGGGTAGATTCTGCGAGGAATGTGTGGGCCAAACCCTGTGGAAATTCTAGCCCCACGGGTTCTCTCAAGAGTTGGGGTGGTGATGGACTAAGCTAGTTGTGACCAAGGAGCCTGCCATCAACCACAGATAGGGCCCAGCGTGGTGGCACAGTGGTTAAGGTCCTCACCTTGCAAGCCCGGGATCCTATATGGGCGCCGGTTCTAGTCCCAGCAGCCCCACTTCCCATCCAGCTCCCTGCCTGTGGCCCAGGAAAGCAGTCGAGGATGGCCCAAAGCTTTGGGACCCTGCACCCGCATGGGAGACCCGGAAGAGGCTCCTGGCTTCGGATCAGCACAGCATTGGCTGTTGCGCCCACTTGGGGAGTGAATCACTGGACGGAAGACCTTCCTCTCTGTCTCTCCTCTCTGTATATCTGCCTTTCCAATAAAAATAAAATAAATCTTAAAAAAAAAAAACACAGGTAAAGGAACTGCCAACAGTCTGGACTGGTCAAGGCAGCAGCACCCAAATGTGCATCCTGAATAGGGTGTGGGGTGGGCTGAGCTGCAACGTTCACCAGCTCATACAAGGTCAAATGGAAGGCTAGACTTCGCCAGGACCTGGCCTAAAACCCAATGGCATGTATGAGAACTGGGTCTGGGAGTGGATCAAGTGGAGGAACTTGGGAAACTCCCTTGGCGAGTCATAGCTCCCACTGGTGAACACATGGTCCAGACCTGGGGGTCAGACAAGCTGCGCAAAGCAGCTAAAACATCTGGCCAATATGTGAATTGGTAATGGAACGGGGTGTATCAGGCAGGACTGAGCAAACCTTAACCCATAAGCAAAACCAGAAATCAGGATAGAGCACAGGTCATGCAGAGCTAGACTCTTGCACCTACTGGTCTGTTGTGAGCCAGGGACACTAAGCCACAGTGTCTAAGGCAGGGGTTGGGACAGGTGAGGGGCTGAGCCAAGCTGAGTCAGAGCAACCACTGGCATGCGTGCGATCTATGGCTGGGAACAGGCCCGGTTGGGATGCTAAGGGAACACCTTAAGCTGGGTTAAGGTTCCCACCAAAAGGCGTGTGGGCTGGAATGGGGACTTCATTCTGGTCTGGATATGACTGTAGTCTCCCGTGGCACAAGTGTGGACTGGGACTGGATGCACCAAGCCGGGCCAGACTCCAACACTATCTGGTGTTCTGTAGGACCAGGGTAGCTGTGGGAAGGACTAGGGTAGGTCTCAACCCCTACTGAGCCATGTGTGAGCTGTATGTGGGTTGGACGAGCTGTAGCTGGGCTGAAACATTCGCAAGAACCAGTTTGGGTTGAAGGCCAGTCAGGAAAAAAACACTGTACCTGCTAGGACTGGAGGTGAACTGAGTAGGGCTGGCTCATGGACCCACTGGTATGCGCGAAATCTGGCATTGGGAGAGTTTCTGATGGAGGAGCCTGGGCAACTCCTCTGGCAGGACACAGATCCTGCAGGTAAGCGCAAGAAGCATGATAGGAAACAGCCCAGAACAGGCCATGGAAAGTTTCCCACTGGCACACATTTGGCATGGGTTGGGGGCAGACCAGGCTGAATCAGTTCATGTCATCCACTGGCAAATCGAGCACCAGAACAGAGTGTGGGTCGAGCCAGGTTCAGTTGCGACAAAAACCAGTACACGATACAGAATGCCAA